GGGGAGCGGAGCGGGGGGCGGCGCTTCCGCACCCGCCGCCGCGGCGCCCCCCGGCGGGCGGGAGGCTCCACTGCAGAGAAGAGGAGGGGGAACTGGTCCCAGCGGGCTGATGGAACTGGGAACCAGTACGCGGTCGCGGAGCGGCTGCACAGCGCCCGGTTGCGGCCAGCTCCCAGCCCGGCCCTGTCAAGGCACACCGCCAGGCGGGCGTGCTGCTGCAGCACCTTTCCTCCCCACTTTGCAACTGCAACTCACTAAAAGTCAGATTTTTTTTTTTCCCCCGATTCCACATTAAAAAAATATTTAAAGAAAGAATTAAAAGGGAGTCAGGGCTTGTAGGAGCTGCCAGCACACCCTGAGCCCTCTTTGCCTCAAGGAGAGGCAGTCCTTCAGCCTGTGCCCACCTTCTCTGATGGTTACTGAGCACAACGCCTGAGCAGGGAGACCAGCACAACACAAAACCCTAAATAAAATAAATAAAAATCACTTCTATACCCTCCACGGCAAGAAGCAGCACAGTCCCAGTTTACACCTGGGTTGGGAAACTACATCTTCCCTCCAAGCACCGCCATTTCCCCCCCTCCTTGGGCCACATCTCCAAAATGAGCCTAAAAATGGGGCAAAATATCCCCTTTTTGGGCTAATACTGGCACAATTACAGCCGAATGCTCTCAGATTTTACCTTCCTGATGCATTTTTAAACATCTACTCGCGCTGGGAGTTTAAGCTGCCACTGAAACATCCTTCTTGCAGCAGCCCCTGCGAGAGACAGGGACAAAGGAGAAAAAGTAAGTCGTTAAAAGTTTAAAGACATTTATTTAAAATACAATTTATAAAACAGTTTTCTCTTCGGCGCACATTTTGGGGTGAAAACACACGGTATCGTGTTTATCCTCCACCTTCCCGGGACGAAGGGGCATCCCGCAGGAACGCCACCGAACCCTGCCCGCGGGCGGGACGTATCCTGGTCACCGGGACAGAGGAGCCGGGAGATTTCAGTGCCTGAACTGGAGATTTTGGTGCCAGAGGCGGCGGCCATTTTAACACTGGTCAACTACACCAAGAACCAGGTGGATTTGGGGGGTTTTTGGCCATTAAAAGCTATTTTTAATAATAATTAAGGAAAGGCGCGGTGACTACAGTTATTGCTGACGTCCTTCTCCCCTCCCACTCTCCCCCAGGGACTCATCCTGACCACCAGTGTGGGGGGGTAATAAAATATAAGACATCCCCCCAAAAAATAGCTCCAGCAGTTGGGCATGCCCAGGGACAATGCTCGCCACCTCGCCACCGTCCTTGGTGCTTTAATCAGCTAATTAACGCTCTAGCAGATTCTTTTTAAACACAGGTAGGTTTATTTTACCGGTTTTGTTTTTTTAAGCCTTATTTCCATACACGTCTTTTTGTACGGTCACTTCCCTTCGCATAGAAGACGTCAAGATTTGCTCGTTTACCCTTGAACCTACTGAGCACGAAGTGGCAGGGAAGGCTGCACCCGTACAGAATAATCCGCTGAGAACCAGAAATGGTTTTCTAGGTACCATCCCCTCCAAGAAGAGCATTTAGTGTTCATCTAATCCCTTGATATCAAGTGATATTAAGGTAGGTCAGCTTCGTGCAGAGGGGAAACATCCGCATTCTTGCGGATCACCAGCCTCTCCCTGTCCTCTTCCTGGGAGCCAGAGGTGGAAAATCTCTTCCCTGAAGCCTCATGCAGAGCCAGCTGCCACCAGGAAGACAGGGGGAATCATCCAGACTTTATCCATCGCCGTTTTTGTTCCCGACATCTCTGATTTCCAGAGGCAAACGCAGCTTGTACCGTGACCAAGAGATCGACTGGAGCCTTCACTCCATGGTTAAGCCGCTGCTCGGGTTCGGACCCTCGGGACACCCCGCACTCCCCATCGTTACGCCAGCCTCCTGACGAGCACAGACCTCACGGAGCAGGGCTCCTCGCCACCTATTTATTTCACAGAGTGGAGCGGCGCCGGCTGTTCTCCTCCTGGCGACGGAGCCCTGGTTCTTCGCCGCCTGGCGCTCTCTGCCGCAAACAGCAGGCAGGCAGCAAGCATTTTCACGGGATCGGTCTACATTCCCTTCTCCCCAAATACAAAAACAAAAAAAAAAGAAAACAAAAAAAAAGATGTATTTTAAGCTTTTCCTCCAAGCCAGCAGAAAATACTAGCCAAGCTTTAACAGGTGCAAAACGTAAACGAGATCATCGGACTCCGCCGGCTCCCAAGGCGATCAGAAAGGCCAGGTATGAGGGAGTCCGCTTCCACATGCTTGGCAGTGGTAGAAATAGAGAACAAGAAACAAGAGTTTGCCAAACCCGAGCCATTAAAGTCGCAGAAATTCATTGAAACTCCTTTTCAAACACGTAACTACCTCTCTCAATTAAAACAAACAGTTAAAACCCTTCCCATGCACTCCGTTGAGCTGATATACAGAAAACAAACAAGAAAAAAATAAAATAAAAGAGATCCTTTGAAACAGAACTTGCTCTTAAAGTGATGAGGACAACATGCGTGTCTGGGGAGGCTTCCCATTTTTTTTTTTTCCTTAAATGCCAGGTTATGAGTACAACAAACGTTATTGCTGGCGCTAGCTTCAACCCAAGTGGCACACACACGACTCCCTGCACCCATCCGAGTCCTTTACACCCTTCCCCTCCCTCGTTGTCCCCTTTCCTTTGACAGTGACTTGGGGACAGCCCTTCTCGGTTTGCCGGTCACAGTGGGTGGAGAGGGGAGGTCACAGTGCGTGGGGTTGAAGGTCACAGTGGGCAGAGCAAAGGGGATCACAGTGCAAATAAACCAGGTAGTTCCCTTTGCTCAAGTCCGTTTGTCCGTCACGGCAGTGCGACCCGTGGCGGCGGACCCTGCCTTCCGCAGCAGCATCTCTCGCCCGCATTTATCTGCGTTGTTTGAAGCCTTGTGAGCCATCGGGACCCAGGGGTTGTCTGATCACATTATTGGGCTGTCTGGTGTCTTCTGGTTGAGAGATCCTCGGCGGCCTGCAACAAGAAAGGAGATCAGAGGCGGAGGCAACACGGCTGCGTAATGCTTGGCACCTTCACAGAATCATCTCAGTTGGAAAAGCCCTTGAAGCTCCTCCAGTCCAACCATGAACCTCACCCTGACCGTTCCCAACTCCACCAGATCCCTCAGTGCTGGGTCAGCCTGACTCTTCAACCCCTCCAGGGATCCCGGGGACTCCCCCCTGCCCTGGGCAGCCCATTCCAACGCCCAGCAGCCCCTTCTGCACAGAAATCCTTCCTCAGAGCCAGCCTGACCCTGCCCTGGGCAGCTTGAGGCCATTCCCTCGGGGCCTGGCGCTGGCTCCTTGGCTCCAGAGACTCATCCCCCCTCTCTGCCCCCTCCTGGCAGGGAGTTGCAGAGGGCCAGGAGGTCTCCCCTCAGCCTCCTCTTCTCCAGACTAAACCCATCCAGTTCCCTCAGCCGCTCCCCAGCAGACCTGTGCTCCAGACCCTGCCCCAGCTCCGTTGCCCTTCTCTGGCTACGCTTGAGTCATTCAATGGCCTTTTTGGAGGGAGGGGCCCAAAACTGAACCCACTAATTGAGAGGCGGCCTCACCAGTGCCAAGTCCAGGGGTAAGATCCCTTCCCTGTCCCTGCTGGCCATGCTAGTGCTGATACAAGCCAGGATACCACTGATCTTCTTGGCCAAATAATAATATATTCCTCCATACTCGCCTCAGTGGGAAGTCACTGCCACAGGACAAGCGGCACATGTCGCTGCCTGGGATGGGGAACACGACCAAAAATTGAACTAGCACTTCATTTCTTCCCAAAAAGTAGGCAAGAACCATGCTGCAAATAGAAGGGCGAGCACAGAGCCTTCAAATAACCTGCATTTGTTTGTGAGTGCTTAAGCTGGACTTTCCCACCCACACCCCTAAGTCAAAAACCTCAGGAAAGGCAAGGGTATATCCCATGAAGATAACTGGTTGCCTGCACTCCTCTCTATACCCCCAGCATGCTCTTCCAAGAGTCTAAGATAACCTTCATGGCCTTATCAGGTACTTGTGCTTCCCTCAGTTCCCATATACTTGAGATTTAAGATTCTTCCCTCTCTAACAAAGCTGCTCTTTCTCTTTGCTGGCCTCACTTCACTCTTCAATGAGCTCATCCTCCTCCTTCTGATGTTTGACATTTGACATCCTCTGGTGTTTGAGCGGAGTGCAGACAAAGCTGCCGTGGCATAACCCGCTATCTAGAACGGGGTTCCACACCTACCTAGAACAATCCCTCCCTATCCAGAACAGGTTTCCTCACCTACCTAGAGCATCCCCCCTATCCAGAATGGGTTCCTCACCTATCTAGAACAGGCTTTTCCTGCTCTTCTTCAGGGCTCGCGCTGCCCAATATTCGTTTCCTGGCTTCAGCGTATTCTGCTTCCCTCTGCGCCAGGGATTTCACGGGGAAGGCCGGTCTGCTGGCGGAGTTGGGATTGCTGAGGACGCCGTTGGTCGTCGGCCTCTTCAAGATGCGGATCTGCGGGGGAGGACCCGCGGGAAGGCTGTCGTCCTGAATCACGATCGGCACTTTAGGAGGAGATTTTGACTTTCTACTGTTTAAAAGAAAAAAAACATTGGGTTGGCACTTGTTTTCTATGGCAACCACTTTTTTTCGCTCTGCATGTGAATTCCTCCCAGTCAGATGTCATTCCCATGATTAAGAGGCAGCCTGTAATAATTAAAGACCTTGTTATATTTGTAACCCTAAACTAGAATGGCAGGCAAGTTTGCAGGAGGTTAGCTCAGCAAGGGACTGAAAATCAGTCCCTGCTGCGTCTGACATCTTTAAACTCGACCAAAGGAAAGGGAAGCAGACACCGGGCAAAAGTTTTAGCACTTCAATTTGAAGATATCAGTAATAAGCACCTTGATTCCATTTCCTGCAAGGACTTTCAGGGCTCCTCTCACCAGGATACCCAGCCTTCCACTCCAACCCTGCCATTTCACTCCTCAGAGCCAGCCTTGGCTCCATTTGTATTTTTTTTATGATCCCTTCTCTGTGCGGAAGTCCCAGAGAAGCAATGACACGATTCTTTAAACGGTCCACTAAGGATCAAAGAGGAAAAAAACCCAACCCAACTAACAACAAAAGACTTGTCAGAAATTATTAGAAATATTTCTGCTAGAAGAGAATATCACACACCCCCACCCCAACCCAAAGTAAGCAGTAAAAGAAAGTCCTACTGATGCAAGACACAGCAAGCCAGTTGAGGGCCATGAGTTGGGATTACCTGACTCACCCATTTCTTCCTTTGAGTGTCTTTTTCTTAAATGGCTTCCCCATAGCTGTAGCTACATCCAGTCTGGAAGACCCGGCTCTGAAATAAAATCACTCTCAAGAAGCTTTCCGCTACACTGCTACAGATCGAAAGGGCCATCTAGTGGCATGATTATAGAGATCCCTATTACTGAACTCAAACCCAGCGCTCTCTGCTCTGCTTGAAGCTGTTTCCCCAGTGTTCCCACTCCCCAGGCCTTCAGATGTCCAACAGCACCTCAGGAAAACAGGTTTTTTACCAAATCACACAGCATTGTTACCTTTCCTTCTGCGTGATCTTCAGCTTCTTCTCCAACCGTCTGTCTATTTCCTAGAAAGGAAGGAGATAAAAATAAAAACCTGAAGGCTTGTCTTGGAGACTAGAGTTTGAGCCTGTCTGTGCACACGTTTAATTTCACTCTTCTGCACAGCGATACAATAAAGGGGGCAGAGAGAGCACGCATCTCCATCCGAGGATGACTTGCAAATCAAGAGGCAGAGAAAAGCAAAGCCACCACATATATTCTATGTAGCCATTAATACACCTACAGCAGGCTGTGGATTTTGCGTATCGTGGCGAGAGGGCAGCTGCGAGGCACTCATCTTTCATTTTAAGGACTTCATCTGGCAAGAAAGCTCTATTAAGGGTAAAGAGCCACGGGAATACGCAGCAAGGTATTCCCAGATCCCAGCAGGAACCGGCGCCAAACCTCTCGGGCAGAGAAGCAGCAGCAGCCGCCGGCCGGGACGATCCGCATCAGCCTACACGCTTGATTTCAGTGGGGCAGCTCAGCCCCAGAGCCTGCAGCCATTCAGAGGACTAGCCGGCAGGGCCACATTCCTTCTGCTTGCTGCAACAATCCTCCTTCACAAAAAAGTCCCTGCCCTGCCCGACGTGCACCCAAGGACTCGTCGGAGCAGAGCAGAGCCTTATTGCGCTTCTCCTTCCCTTTGCAACATCGCTGCCGAGTCATCAATTGGCGGAAAGATGTATTAATCACCCCTGAATGCCAAGAGAGCGCAGCTTTAAGCATGTCAACTTCTGTCCAAGGCTTGCATCTACCTTAGCAAAGGTGTTTACATTTTGCAATTGGAGCAATTATACAGAGACATCTTGCTAAACAGAAAAATAGTCAGCTTTCAGCCTCAGTCTCTCTTTAGGTAACCTTCCTCAACCTCGCTGGTATCTTTAGATTCCCACAGCTGCTGATGCTATTAAAAAAGCCTACGAAACAGCGATGTGTTTTATTTCAACATCAATGAAAAGGGGAAAAAAAAAAATCTACCTGTGAGTGTCCTAGTTTCACCAGCCAATAACTGGCAATACTGAAGGAAATTCCAAGCTTCTGGCAGGATGCAGCTGCTCTACTTTTCAGGCGGGTTTGCTTAACTACACTGAAAGCTCACTGCCAGTGGAGCCTACCCTGCTGTCAAAAACCATAGCAGGCCCAACCCAGTAAAGAAACTGGTTTGCATGGCAATTCCCTGATGCCTCAGTAAGCAGGGAATGAATGCAAGTTTCTACAAGATGCCAAACCACTGTGTTTGCTCTTGGTCATGCTGCTACACAGGCCAACAGCCCACTGTAGCCACCATCTAGAAGGTGATAGTTATAAACTGGATGGGGAAAACAAAAGGTGGGTGGGAGGTTGAATTTTCTACCAAATTCTGTGATTTGTAAGAACAAAGGCAGCCAGGGGCTTCATGCAGCATGGAGCTGAAGGCCAGGTCCCAGCTAGAACCTCCCGTTGAGGCCAAATGCACCTGCAGTTTCCTTCCTCTTCAAGAGGACTGGGAGGAAAATCCCATCCCAATGCTGCGGGGGATGGGGGGAAAAAAATGTGCATCAGCTGCCTCCGGTCTGCAAAGACAGAGGAACAGCCAGCTAGGAACAGGCAGCAGGGAAACGGATATCCCGGCAAGGATGGAGATGATGTAGAGTGGCTGGTGGCAAACAATGAAAGTCAAATTAAGGGGAAGGGGTGAGCTCATCAGCCCGCACCACGCCAGAGAGGTTATATCCTGCTGTAGAAGAGTCCTTAAAACACTTTTTCAAACTGAAATAGTTAACCACGCCTAGCCAGGGCCCCCTGGAAGCAGTGGAATGGAAGGAAGTTTCCTTAAATATCCCTTATTAAATACTTCAGCACGTGGGGAAGAGGAATGACAGGAAGATAGGGCGGAGGCGGGGGGAAAGCACGCTCAAGATCATCTCATTCTGTTTAGCGTTCGGCGCAGTGCAGCGACTACGAAGCCGGTTACGGGTCAGAGCCACAGCACTGAACTAGGGCAGACAAGCAAAGCTGCCCGCAGTGAGGACTCTGGGGCACAAAAATATGACAAGCCACACGGTAGCCACGAGGAAGGCTGCTTTCTCTGACCTCTCTCCTTCCTGGAAGAGGAGAGATGGCTTTGACAAAAGCCACATTTCTGCATTCCTGGTGGCTTTGCAGGTCAGTCCTGGGGCTAAAGTTGCGGTCCATACATCGGACTGCAGGATCCTGTAATTGCAAAGCGTCAGTTTGACCTCAGCATCTGAAAAACACTCTGATTAATGCGACTGTCACACTGACCCCCAGCACAGCTGGACAGCTCTTCATACCCTCACATGCGCCAGACTTCCTCTGCATCCTCTGATGCCAGAACCCAAAACTTCCCCTTCCAGAAAAAAAAAAACCAACCAAAACAAAACCCCTATAGTTCTTAAATCTGCTCACACACAAACTTATTCCAAAGAATCCCTCAAAAACCTGCCATCATGACACCCCTCTCCAAATGAGTCCTTTACAGTCCCTGTTTCACTCCTTGCTCCTCCCGTACAGATCACTTTTTGGTATTTTTGCCTCTTATCCCTCCCTTGTCAGTGGATGCTAAGCAAACGTGCATGGTCCTGGTTCATATCCACCACACAGGCTCAACAGCTGCCCCGTGCCTGGGGAGCTCCTCACTAAGAAGCAGAGTAACAGGCAGCTAAAATATCCTCTAAGTTATAACGTCAGCAGCGGTTAGAACCACTGTGTACTCTCCAAAACAAGAGACTTCCTCCACACGTAGAAATCCTGGCAGAAAAATATAAAACAACCAATCCCAACAAATATATACGGATCACTCTCACTCCATCCAAACAACTGTTAGTCTTGCACGATCCTCATCGTTCCCAGCACTGCTGTGAGGATTCCAGCTGCCTCCAGATATCCACTGAACTCTTGGGGAGAAACAGTCTTCCTCTTTGTTCAAAGTGGATGGCTAAGTGTAAAAAAGCAGCTCCCCACCCCACACACACACCTCCTGATGTGTTTGCTTTTAAATGCAGGGATTGACCCCATCTTTTCTCAGCAGAAGCCACAGGACTGCTTAAAGACTCTTGGTGTTTAAGACTGCTATGGCTGGAATTGTAGGTGTGGAGGTGTGTGAACATGGGGAGCATTCCCAATTCAAATGGGCAGCCCTTAATCACACTGCAAAAACAACCCAAGACATTAGCAGCCTCACACAGCTAGCAGTTCGTGACGGGGATCACGCTGCATGAATTTACAAGCTCAAGAAGCAGAAACACCTTGACAGAGCTTATTCTTAATAAAAGAAAAAAATCCCTGCGGCTGCTTTCCACAGATCTGTTTGTCTGCTGATGTCATTCCCTTTCCATTGCTATGCCACATTGTCACTGAGCTGTGTGGGTAACAAGATAAAATTAGGACTTGACTTACAGGGCAAGTGCCAGAAGCATTACAACAACCCAAAGGCACAAGCTCACAGGAGAAGCAATTAGACTTGGCATTCGAGGACATCGTGCTGCACGTACCCAGTAGCTGGGCAGGTCACACCATACAAAAACCAGTTATTAATCTTAGGAAGCTCTCCTATCTTTCATTTCCCATGAAACTTATTTATATAACCAAAAACTAAGCCTCATTCTCACCCCCGTTCAAAACACCCTCCCCAAAGATTAGTAAAGAATCTCTACAAACTATTTTTAGTGCTATTATGTCTAGATACTAAAAAGGACGCAAACAAACAGCATGAAGAAGACACTGTTCTTTGACATTTAAGCTGCATTTGTAGATGAGGACGTAATGGAAACTGAAGTCCAGCCCCATCACAGCCATCCGTCCTACCCTCTAGGCCTGGGGAAAATAGCAATGCATAAAAGGATCAATAAAATACCTCCGGCAGAGCGATTAGACACAAAGACACAAACCTGCCACTTAGATCTGACACGCCTATGCTCTTTCACCCTGAACAAGAACCCCACTGACACAGCTGACAATTCTGAGATGTTACTGGCAGGTTGGAGATAGATGTTCCCCCCCAACACCCAGAAACGTGCCCTTTGGGAAGGGATGCTCCTTTGGAGGTCGGCTCCACACGAGGTGTAGGCACATTCCCAAGCAAACCCATTTCTCCAGCATACTGCAAAGCACAGAGAGGACGGAGTCAGCCCGAGCTGTTGTCTAAAGAGCTTTGTTGGAATAACTGTAATGCGTCGGACACGTATAAGGAATTATCCTTCCCATCGTTGCCAGCAAAGACTCTCTAAATAGACTAAATAACAGCAGCTCCAAGCTCTGCTGATAAGGGAAGGAAGCAACAAGAAAACTGCTGGCTATTTTTTATTTGAAGTTTAGTGAGCAGCCACGACTGAATGTTTGAAGGAAAGCAGAGACTTGGACTTCCTACACACCCCTTACAGTAGGAGGATATTTCCCCCTCCACCTCCAGAAGTAGGTTACTTTGCAGAAATCAAGGAGATACCTACCAGCCCTCCTGACAGAGCACAGGCTAGTGTCCAGTAAAGGAAGCTGTGCTCTCCTAGATAACTGATAACCTTTCAAATATGCAGCTCTAGAAAACCATTAACCACATTCTTTGATGTATTTACTGGCGATCACCCCTGAACACAACCTTCCAACCTTTGCTAACTCAAATAATGTGTAAGATCAAACCCAGAAAGAGGGAATTTAGACTAGAGTTGCACCCTCCCATGCTAACACTAAAACCAAAATCTCATCTGCTTATTAAAAGCACCATCAGATACTCTGGCATTTTCTGAATGACAGGAGATAAACTTCAAGGCCTGGTTAACATTCATTTCTTTAGGGGAAAAAAAGAGATTTTAACATCTGAGGTTGCCAAAGCTGTTCACAGGTACCCAAAAACATACAGCTGCAGATACCCAACTCACTGCTTCACTGAAAACACCGTCAAGTAAGAGCAGAAGTAGATAATCCTAAAGTATCTCCAAGCTGACTCCTCATTAGCTATCTATTTCTTTCCTCTGAAGATAAATTAATCTTCTATTAATTACTGGAACATTCCAATTCCTGAGGCTATTGGCAATCAGACTGCTCCATTAATTAATTCTCCAGGTTACTCCACTTATGTTAAATCCTGGCAGTGGACCATACCCAAGAAAGCCACAGATGCTTTTAAGCTGTGCTGGCGTTTACATCTTCCATAGGTAGATAACACTTCTCGGCAGCTAGGATATTGAGAAACAAGACACGAGAGTATTTTTGGGAACAAGCCTGGCAGGCGCCACATGGTCTTCCCAGCACAGACATGTTACAGGGCCGGGGGGGGAAGCATTTGGGAGGGCTGCAGCTCCTTCCTCCCACCTTTCACACCTCCTGCGGCGGACAGGTCGCACAGACGCTCCTCAGAGATCCATACTGGGAATATATTTACACCCCTTATCAATCTAGAAAAAAAAAAAAACAGAAGCAAATATCTAGCAAAAGCCCTCTGCGTGTTGTTTCACAAACATCTCTTCACCCAGATGATCACCCTTGCCTTCTGCACCCACGTCCCTGTGTGGGCTCTGTGACCACATCCAGTTGCTCATCAAGGTCTGTGAGAGCAGTACAACACAGGGCCTGCTCCTGAGTGACCTGGGCAGGGCCACGCAGGACCTGCTGTAGTGTCCTAAAACCAACACTCACTTCATGGTGTTACAGTACCTGTTCATTCCCAACCTACAAACATCACTTCCCTCATCACTGTCTCTGCCTAAGCAACGCTGAGCAGCAGGAACAGAAACTTCCATTTCCCAGTTTTTCCTCCCAGTTACAAACACCTAAAGCAAATATTCAGCAGAAGTTTTACAAAAATCATTTTGGTCTGTGAAGTCAAAAACCTGTCCTTACAGCTCAGACATCAAAAGTCAGCAGTTATCCTCATGGGTTTCCTCCAGGGTTCAGTTCCTGCACACCAAAATCCTGTTCATTTCTCCTTTGATCCCACAAGTAGTTAGCGGACCAGAGGTCACAGTGCTACACTCTGAAATATTTCCCTTTTGACTTCTCTGTACTTCGATCATATTTAGCAACTAGCTAAAAGCAACACTAGCCAAAACCTTTATAACCAGCGAACACGCTGCCTTTGCTAGAGGATGAAATTCAAGGCAGGCAGCCCTTTCTGCCACTCAGACCCCGACCAATTTAGAGACAACAGAAATGAGGTTTTTTGCAAACTTCAGGTGACCGATTTTCACCAAGAGCTGTGACACAAGCAGGTGACAATCCCCGTCCCCACACGAGGGACAAAGTTCAGTCACACATTCGGCTGCTCACATCCTCCCCAGGCAGCCGGTAATCAGATAAGGGGGATTTTTCCCTTTCTGGTAGTGATCAGTGAAGCAAGGCACAGTCTAACTATGGGATTTAGACTCTGGACTGTGGCAGGGGAAGTTTTAAGTGCCAGAGAGGAGGCTGTAGGCAGCAGCTGGGATCTAACTGCCCTGCAAACTGTCCATCAGCCAACTGAAGTGGAAAAGCAAGACACTTTCTTTTATAACTATTTGCCAGACTAATGTTTTATCTTCACAGGTTCTGACTTGAGATAAGTTACTAATTAAGAAGACACTGATATACTCAAATTCTAGTTAGTGAAGGAATAAGCAATCCATCCAGCTGGAGAGTGCCAATTAAGGACTGAGGATTACCTGTGACCCTGGACATGGGACTTCCACTCGTTTTGGAGCCCAGCTTCCCACCTGACATTTAATTACTAGTTTAACCAGATAAATAGACTTAAGTGTCACAAACAGACCTCTCCTTTGTGATTTCCCTCTTCCCTAAAGCCAGCTAGACCACACAAAAGAAAAACAAGCCATGCACTAAGTCATATTAGTGTTTACTAACCCAGACTGGGTCTTTGAAGCCCAGCGCTTCGATCCTCACTCATAACTTGGACAACTCATCTGTTATTCACACACTTGATTTTCCACCTGTAACTGACAGACAAGTAAAACCTTCCCATTTCACAGACATTTTGAAGATTTAATTAGATAACACAGATCTAATGCACCAGCATTAAGACTGTGGTGCCTGCAGGACTCCTGGTGTAGGTGAAGCTGCCGGAGCAGAGGGCATCTGGCTGGCATATGGTCACTCAAGGGGTGGCACATACCCAAGGAGCTGCTCCTTATTCCATCAAGCACTGGCTAATTCTGATGACACAGAATGCTAAAAGACAAACAGAAGTCACGTTAAAGGCAAAAAAAAATGCTTGAGGATCTCTTTTACTGCTACTTGACTGACCAAACCAAAGTGGAAGATCTGCATCAGGTTTTAGGGGGGGTTTACCTCAACCTAATGAGATTTTGGCACTGCTGGTTTTGGAAGGCAGATCTGTAAGAGATAAATGAAGCGAGATTACAACTGGGAGGCCATGGCACCTCTGGTCAGCCCACAACTGCCTCTTGCTGGAAACCACCTTCTTTAAGACCTCAAGTAGAAGCTCACAACCTTAACACCAAAGCCTACAAGCACAAAAAAAGGACCAGTACTGAAACTCTGATGTCCTTTCTGTCCTAACAAACACCTGCTGGGTGGAATACTAAAAAAAATTACACACCGAGAAGCAGGCAATGCATCTCAGAAGCCCACCATGGATCTCCCGCTACATCACTACTGTTTCCTCAGAGATGTGCTGAAGGGTCTAAAAAAAATAACTCAGGTTTTCAACTGTGTGAAGTATTAGGAGGAGAATACATGCTTAAAGCTGCTCCTTGGCATCTCTTACGTTTTATTGGATATTCCTCTTGAGTTCTGACCAAGGCTATCATGTCTGACACCTCCACAGGATCCATCACATGCTACCTCAGACCTACACCAAATAAGATATAGGTGGAAGAAGAAAATAAAGGGGGATTCCTTAAGACAAAAAAAACCCTGCGATGACAGGACCAGGCCAGCTCATACTTTTTTTCTGCCCACAATTTTTCCTCTTGCATTCGACAGAATACCCAGCTTGTTCAGGCATTTGCCAGGCTCCCCTGCCTGATGAGTACCCTAGGATTTGAGGTGCAGAGAACAGCAGGCGTGCCTGAAATCTATTTCAACTGCCAACAAGTGAGTTGGTCACACTGCCTGCTCTACAGCAGAGCCTCTTCCTGCCCCCTCTTCCTCTTTTCTCAACTTGTCTACCTCTGGTAGCTTTGATTTCTGTAGCAGTACCAAGAACCTACAGTCCCTGACTGCACCAGCATCCATTTGGTCCATGAAAAGCAATGTTGGGCTCTCCTCCGCTCCATCCCACTCATTTTTTCGCTTCCTGTGGCCACCACCAGCAGCAAAGTCTCCTTCCTGTCGGGCAGGGTTTGAAAATGACCTTTCTAAACCCCAACAGATGCCAGAAGGCAGCTCCCATCTCTTCTCTTACGTAAGAGCAGCTCCTGCCGCAGACAGCTCACTTTTCTTGTTGCTCCAATTGCTTTTGCAGACATCCAAAGCCCTAACAACTGCAAAAGCAGCTGCAAGCATGGTGGTGGCTCCTCAAGAAATCTCTGCTCAGAGGCAAAGCACCACCAAGGTGACAAACAGAAATTCTCAGCAGCTTGGACTACAAAAGGACATGAGAAAGGACAGGTGACAGATTTTTTTCCTACTAAGGGCTTTAAAAGAACACCTAAAAGGCACAAGGACAAAGAAGAAAAACAGCCAATGGCTGGGATTTGAGCAGCCCTACAATTTTAAACCATTACTTAAGGCCACAGCTATCATCAGCTCCTGAGACACGAGCTATGCCCCTTCATGGAACAATTTAACAAGTGCCGGAATTAACTTTGCCGCCCAGCACGAGGCTTCCTACAACTGCAGTCTCACAGCATTGGCAAGAGGAGAGGGCGAGTGCTTTGCTTATGCTGCCAGCCTGCTGCTGGCACCTCTTACACTGCTTGGCGAGGGCATTGAGTTACAGGCTCTATTTTTCTACTCCCTTTCTGGTCAGCTGTAACACAATCTCCTGACCAGAATCAAATTCAGTCTTCTCACCAAGTCATTGTTATGAAGCCCTTCTGCCCTCTGGTCATTAACGAGCCTGATGAACTTATTAAAACAGGAGTTTGCTTGGCACACACAGTTTCCTTTCTCTCATCACACTGTTGTGAATACCCCACAGATCACCCGCCCACACTCCTTCTAAAATAATGATTTTATTTTGCAAGCGCGACACGCAGAAGTGTTTCAGAGTCTCTCAGCATGAGAGACGTGATGAAAACTTCAGCTATTCAGCCAGTTATTAAAAGCAGGCGAGAACTCCAGCTACAACACTGGAAGCCACACTAGGCCATGCTAAGAGTCCCCATATTGCGTCCTAACGAAGCAGCACGTTCATCTTGAGCAAGGGGGAGAAAGGGCTGTTGATGCGCACCCCCAGCTTCCTCACCACGCCCCGCGACAGGCTGCCCACCCACCTCTCTCCAGAGGCCCTGCGAGGGCTAATGTGACGGTGGAGAGACACGTTTTGTCAGAGCCCTTCAGGAGAGGAAGCAAGGTACCAGCCATCCTCCCAGAACCTACCACATGCTCCTCGGCAGCAGGAGCTTTGTTCCAGGCTCAGCCGCGACCCGCACTGACCAGTCGCTGCCGCCCTGCCCGCAGACCCATAAGGCCGGGGAGAGAAACGGATGGTTTAGAGAGCGAGTGGAAAACGAGGGCGGAAGGACGGGCAGGGAGCGGCTCCCTGCGGCAGTCCCGGCACGTGGGGACAGAGATGAGACAAGCAGGAGGGGCTGGAGCCGGGTTGCAGCCCCCCACGCCGAGCGAAGCCGAGGTCCCTTTAAGAGGCCTAGCAGGCGCTCGCAGCTTGCCGCCGCACCGGCCGCACCCCACCGCCTCCTCCCAGCTCTCGGCGACCTCCTCATCTTCCATTTTAATTCCCCTCCGCCGCCGCCGCCAGCCCGCGCCTCGCGCATG